TCCTGGTTGATTACTGGATCAGACGGGCGGATGAGGGCGTGTGGTCCTGCGGGAGAGAATTGGTGTTTGTTATTATCTGTTCTTGTTCTTTTTTTGTTTTTGTTTTGTGATTTTGGTGATTTTGATTGGATTAAACTAATGATTTTTTTTATTTGTTTTTTTATTTAGTTAGTTATTTATGTGTTATATGTATTGTGTCTGGTCTGTCTTAGGTTGGGCGGAGAGAAATTGGTGTTATTTTTCTGTTTTTTTTGGTTTTTTTGTTCCTTGTTTTGTGATTTTAGTGATTAATGTGATTGAATGTTTGTTTATTTATTTAGTTATGAATTTTGTTATTTTAGTTTATTTATTTATGGTTTATTCTAGGTGTTTGTCTTGTCTTCTTCGGGAGATAAGGATTGGTGTTATTTTTTTGTCTACTTTTTTCTGTTTTGTTTGTGATTTATTGATTAGTGATGAATCTGTTTATTTGTTTTAAATTTAGTTATTATGTGTTTATCTATGTTGTCTGTCTGGGGTTGGGGAAAGGATTGGTGTTATTATTTCTTTTTTCTGCTTTTGTTTTATGATTTTATTGTTAAACTATGAATTTGATTATACTTTTTTTTTTTTTTAAATGTTTTGTCTCTCTCTGTGTCTGTCTGTCCTGTGGTTTGGGGAAAGGATTGGTGTTATTATTTCTATTTTTTCTGTTTCTTGTTTTGTGATTTTATTGATTACCCGTTGAAGTTTGTGTCTATTCATTTTTTTATTTTTAGATTTTTCTGTTTGTCTTATGGTGTGTGTCTGTCTGTTTATTCTCTACCTCTCAAATCTGTTTCTCTCTTGTTTTAATTGATTCTACTATAATTTTTTAATTAGTTTATCTATGTTCTTGTGTCCTATTCTGTTTTCTCTCTATTTATTTGGTCTAATCTACCTATTATATCTATCTATTTATGTCTACCTTTTGTCTTATTTATTTATTGATTTCATCATCTTTCGAAAATGGATGGAATGACTTTATTTTTTCTTTCCTATGGGTAAGCTTTGTGGTGTGTCTTTTCATGTTGTGACTGGGGAATTTATTTATGAAAATTATGAGGAAGATTTACGGTCTCATTGCTCTATTTGTCTGTCTGTCTAATCTACCTCTGTCTCTGTTCGCGTAGTTTTTTTAATTCTGTTTTTCTCTTATTATATTGTCTCTATCTGTCCTCGGTCTGCCTTGTTTGTCTGTTTTTCTGCATTCCTCTTCCCCCTCTTCTCTTCCTCCCCCCCTTTTCTTCATCCCTCCTCCGTCGCTCCTTTCCTCCTTCCTTATTCTCCCATTCCTTCCCATCTCTTNGAGGACGGAAGAAAAGGAGAAAGAGGGGAGAAAAAAAGAGAATGATGAAAGAAGGGGGGTGAAGGATAGATCATTAAATGGGAAAAAAGCGAGGAAGGAGTAGAGCGTAGAAGAAAAGGAGAAAGGGAAGGAAAAGGAAGGGAAAAAGAGAGAGGAGGGGAAGGAGGGAGGGGAGGTTATTCACTGGCACGCACCGTCGATCGCTGGCTTGAAAGTGCCACGAAGCTGCGGGGGCGTCGGAGTGGGGAATCAGAGGGGGTCACGAAAAGGAGGAGGGGGGGGGGCGAGGGGGGAGGTATTGGCAAAATGGGGTTATTCGCCGAAAATGTATCTCAGATAGGGGGTTATAGAAGTGTCCGCGACTCTCTCTCGTCTCGCATCGATCACTTGCTACGAGGAGAGAGAGAGAGATGCATATCTCTCTCTCTGTTCTCTCTCTCATTCGCATAGTCGTCTGTCTTTCTCTCTATCTAATCACTATCTGTCTCTTTCCTTGTCTGCTACTCTCTCGATGTCAACACTCTTTCTTTCTCTGCCTCTTCATCTGCCAGATGTATTCTCATCTCTCTATCTATCGTGTTCTTATGCTTCTCTCTCTCTCTTCCTCTCATCTCTCTCTCTCTCTCTCTCTCTCTCTCTCTCTCTCTCTCTCTGCTCTCTCTCTCTTCTCCTCGTTTCTCACTCCTCCCCTACTCTCCTTTCCCCCTTCGTCTCTCCGCCTCCCAGTCCCCTCTCTCCTCTCTCCCACGGAGATGACCCACGCCTCCACCTCCCTCTCCAGCCCCCCTTTTCTCATCTCATCCCCTTACTTTCCCCCTCCCTCTATTACTCTTTTTTAAATGCGTAGAGGCGTAGAGATACGCATACACGCGTTACCGAGATTGCTCCTTGGCAATGTACACACACACTAACATGAGCGAAATGCAAGTTGGAATTTGTATATGTGAAATTTCATGTGTTGTTGCTGGAGGCTTTGGATCTTTAGGAGAATGTGAATGGTGGAAAGACTATAGCAAAATGAGAGGAGAGGGAGGGAGATAATGGGAGGGAGGGAGAGCGGAGGAGAGGAAGAAGAGGAAGAGAGAGGAAGAGAGAGGAAGAGAGAGGAAGAGAGAGGAAGAGAGAGAGAGAGGGAGGGAGGGAGGGAGGGAGAGAGGAGAAGAGAGAGAGAGAGAGAGAGAGAGAGAGAAGAGAGAGAGAGAGAAGAGAGAGAGAGAGAGAGAGAGAGAGAGAGAGAGAGAGAGAGAGAGAGAGAGAGAAAAGAGAGAGAGAGAGAGAGAGAGAGAGAGAGAGAGAGAGAGAGAGAGAGAGAGAGAGAGAGAGAAGAGAGAGAGAGAGAGAGAATGCAAAATGATTGAAGAAACACAATCAAAGAAGACAAGAAGAGACAAAGATATCAATAGATAAAAGGGGGAAAAATATATACAAAGACAGAATAATAAAAAAGAAACTGACATGAAGCAAGAAGGTAAATCAGATGAATTAGAACCAAAATTCAAAAAAATTCAAATGCACAGACTTTTTTAGACGTACGCAAAATATAAAGTACTCCCTTTGCCTTTGTTTAGGGTGTAACGCTAACACTATAACACTCCGTAACTCTCCACGTTATATATAAAAGTCATAGAACTATTCCAAATCCGAGGTCAGGCCATGTCAATAAAAGGTACACATTAAATTATTTAACTACAGCATTCGAGCTATGAAAAATAGACTCTTCATCTATTTTGATACTTTCAGGAAATTAAGTTCTCAAAGCTTTATGAATAACAAGAATAGCGTCAAGTCATGGACTATTATCACAAATACATTTAGATATTAATATGTGGCGCTGTATCTATGTGCATGTACACTGCATGTATATGCATGTGTGTATATGCATGTTTGTATGTGTATGTACGTGTGTATGCATGTGCATATATGTGTGTGTGTGTGCATGTGCATGTGTGTTTGTGTGCATGTACATGTGTGTGTATGCACGTGCATGTGTGTTTGTATGCCTGTGTTTGCATGCACGTGCATGTGTACGCTCGTGTACGTATGTACGTAAGAGCCAATGAAAGGTCCAACTTAAAGCCCAATCACCACCACGCTAATAACATGAGAATTTCCTACGAGTTATTTATCACCCAAGTTGCAAGGATGATTCATGATGCTTTTACTTGGGGAAGAGAAGAGCGGGGAGGGGAAGGGGAGGGGGGGGGGGGTGCTGAGGTTGGGGGAAGGGGGGGGGAGAAGGAGAGAGAATAAGGCGTGAGAAAGGAAGACGAATGTCAGGAGCTGCTTTTTTCTTAGGAGTAAGAGGGATAGGGATGAAGAAAGAGAGAGAGAGGGATGAGAGAGAGAGAGAGAGAGAGAGAGAGAGAGAGAGAGAGAGAGAGAGAGAGAGAGAGAGAGAGAGAGAGAGAGAGAGAGAGAGAGAGAGAGAGAGAGAGAGAGAGAGAGAGAGAGAGAGAAGAAAGAAAGAAGAGAGAGAAGAGAGAGAGAGAAAGAAAGAAAGAAAGAAAGAAAGAGAGAGAGTGGTTTGAGTAGTAAATATTCACATACTTTTTATTTATAACCATTGCTTATGTAACCTCCAATTTTCCTCCTTTTATCAGCTACATCTTGTTTTCTTATCATAATTCATGAAAACAGCAAACAAGTGAAAAATTCATTTATAATGCATGTTATATAATCATAGAAGATGGTACGATAGCAGTAAAATAAGCCAAATACCATGTTTCCATAAAGGTTATTATTCTTGACGTAAAACCTAAAAGAAAGGGTACATTTGAATTAATGAAAAACAATAATACAAAAAAGAAAAAAAGAAAAACTAAAAACAATAATACAAAAAAGAAAGAAAACCTAAAAACAATAATACAAAAAAGAAAGAAAGAAACCCTAAAACAATAATAAAAAAAACTAAAAACAATAAAACGAAAGCAAAACAAAACAAAAAAAAAACATCAAAGGTTATGGCAATAATGATAATAAACCGACAATGAATTACGTACATAGAGAATGACGATAATAATAATATTTCACAGTTTTATACACATTTTTTTTTTTTTTTTTTTTTTTTTTTTTTTTTTTTTTTTGCGTGTTCCCTGTGCGTGTGTGTCTGCCATCAAGCTTCTATGTGCGTGCGTGTCCTTGTTTACCTTACTGTGTGCGTATATCCATGTACATATTTGCGTTTGTTTATTCATGTCCCTCTACGTACCTTCGCCTCTTTTGATCTTTCTCTCTCTCTATGTCTCTCCTCTGTCTGGGTATGGACTTTTATGTTCGATCTCTGTCTGTCTGTCTGTCTGACTGACTCTCTTTCTGTCTGTCTGTCTCCCTTTTTGAATATCTGTCTTTCTATCTGTTTCTCTTTATTTCTGTCTGTCTGTTTGTCTGTCTGTCTGTCTCTCTTTCTTTCTTTCTATCTTGTCTAGCTGTCTATGCCCTCTCTCTTGTCTCTGTCTCTCCGTCACTCCCCCCTCTCCTCTCTCTCTCTCTCTCTTTCTCTTTCATCATCTCCCTTCTCCCCCTCCCCGCCTCTTTCATTTCATTTTCTTTATTTTTCCTTTTTTCCTTTCCATTCCCATTCTCTCTTCTCCTCTTATTTTACATTTTTTTCTTATTTTCCACATCTCTTTCATTATTCATGGTTGCTGTGCCTCTCTCCCTTTCTTCTATTTTT